TAACTCTAAATTAGGTCTGAAATACATGAAACCACATTAGCTTTCAGCAGCATTGCGTAGGTACAACTGATTGTTAAGAAAGGTAATTTAACCTACAAGATCTTCATTGTTGATGGTGATAGAGAAGAAGCCAGTCTGATTCTCAGATTTTATGTTTTTAAATTATTTAATTTAAAATTATTTAATTAAGATGAAGTGACAACAATTTAGCAATCCTGCAATCTCATTTTTATGAAATTACTTTCCAGACCAGGAATGCACTTACATTTTTAGTATTTCCACATTTCTGAAATTGAAAACCTTAAATTACTTTTGATGTTACAGGTGGAAACTGTAGAAAAATACTACTCGTAGCTTCAAAACATCCGGACCATGACGTGCTGGATGCCTTTTGTCTCTGTGTTCCAGGCTAAAGGACAATGGAAGCGAAGCTGCATCCTTGAAGAAAAAAAAACAAACGAGGCGTCTTGATCCATTTCCAGAGCAGGCCTGAAACAGGGGAGGAACTGACATTGCCATAGCTTCTCCTCGCTATCGTTTGCTGATCTCATCTTTCAGTTTCACTGGAGCTGATTTCAGGGAGGAGAAATCCGATAGTAAGTACTCAGTGGCCAAGTAAGTGCAGGGTTCTTCAGTGCTGAATTATCCACAGCTGCTTACTGTTAATAGCTACGAGCTAGACACAACAGGGCTGGTGAGACCCTGAGCCGCCCGTCTCCACAACAAAATAGGGAATGTCCAAACTTAAAGTATTATTTTCCTCAGTGGCATGCTATTTCAAAAGAATTTTGCATAACTGAAAGTAATTGTATGTGCCCATATAACCAGCAAAAGAGACAGGGACAACGGGTGAAACTACAGCCCGGCAATGGTGAAAGGCGCTGGTTTGCATCCTGCTTATGAAAGAGTCACCGATACTCTGCAGCCAAAACCACATCCAGTTTAACTGATGCTCGTCACCTCGTGGACTAAATTTTCCGTTCTGATTAGCCAGTTGTGAGAGATTTTAAAGGTTTTAGATTTTCTCTGATAACATGTAGAAAACCAGCTTATGTTGTTCGGTGGTGAATCCAGCTCTGCATAGCAAGAACAAGGACAGGTCGAGACTTGTTCTTGCCCACTTTGTGTTGCTCGCTGAGGCTGCTTGTGAGTCTTTCACGTAGAAGATGCCCCTGTGTACCTGCATTTTGACATCTGTTTCAAAGGCGCTGGGATTTGAGAATTCTTTAGTATAGTAATGAACGCTTTTGACAATCTTGTCTGAGGTAGCCGTGCCTGAGATTTCGCACTGTGCAAAACCGTTCGTTACTTTTGAAAGCTTTCTTAAGGTTGTAGAACACTCAAGGGGTAAGAAAGCCTAGGAAGCCTGAATTCTAGGTGCATACGAGCTATGAAGCTTTCCCTGAGCAATGACTTTTTTTTTTATTGCTAATCCTCTGCCACTTTCCTTTTTTTTTTTTTTTTTACTTTAACACCACAATGTATGTTTGTTTTTTGACTGGGAGGAACCGGTCACTTTACCTGTACATCTTTCTCATGTTACTCCCATGTTTCTAGATTGTCGATTAGAAAAACATTGACTCTATCCTGTAACCAGGGTAGTAGTTCTGAACGTGAACAGTAAAACCAGAGTATGCAAACAGGTAAAGTGCCTGTATCATATTTCACTCCAGATATTCAGGTGGTCTAAGTTTACAGATTTATATTTATTGCCACAGATAAAAATCATAGATAGAATCATAGAATCACTTTGGTTGGAAGAGACCTTTGAGATCATCGAGTCCAACCTTTAACCTAACCCTGCCATCCCACCACTAAACCCTGTCCCTAAGCACCTCATCTAGCCTTCTTTTAAATCCCTCCAGGGATGAGGACTCGACCACCTCTCTGGGCAGCCCATTCCAGAGCCTGACAACCCTTTCAGTGAAGAAATGTGGGTTTACAGCACATATGACGAAAAGTATCATATTTTTAGGACATTTCTCTATTTAGAGAGGAATTTCACCCCTAATACAGAAGGAAAAATGAGTTGCTGGTAACAGTTCCAAGCTGCATGCACGGTGTGTGCCGGTTCGCAGTCGATCGAGTCACGCTGCTGCCTATCTTTCTCTTCGGGACGCCCCCGCAGTCCCTTTGCCGTTTCCGAGCACCCTTCACCGGCGCGGCCAGCGCTCCCGGCCGCCGCACGGGGGACCGCGG